TTCTAGCTTCAAGTGGTTCATAGTAACGCAGCAGCTTTACAATTATTTTTTCTGAAGTAAGCACAAAAGCCTCTGAATTTGAAATTTAGAATGAGATACAAACACGCTGAGTGGATTTTCTTTTAATTACGATGTAACAAACTTGTGAAATTAAAGGCTGACCATAGGGATATGAAGAGTCTATACTTATCAAACAGGTTGTTATTTTAATAAAACTAAATTTATATTCTTCAACTAGATAAAGAGTTTAAATCATACTCTTAATAAAAAGGACTTGGAAAACACAGTGTAAATCCTCTGTAATACAGATGTGAGAACACAATATAAATTTCTGATCTCCCACAACTTTGTAAAATTAGAGATAAGGTTTGCTGTATTGCCAAGATTGGTCTGGAACTCCTGGGCTCAAGAATTCTCCGGGCTTGATCTCTTCAATAGGTGGGACTACAGGCACATGATATCATGTCTAGTTAAAATTCCACAATTTCCACTATTTGGAATTCCACAAATTCCAAATAGCTCTCTGCAAAAATACTGTATGACAACAAAATAGATGTACAAGAAATAAAAAGAAACTATATGCTATGTTTAACAGGGTGATTCCATGGTTCCTGTAACAAGTCACCTGAGGTATTAAAGATTCATTTAAATGGAGGTATTATTAGTCATACTCATATGACATATAACTCAAAGTAAAGACACTAACTCAAATAAGCCTAGACCAAAATTTGCATCTGCTCTATTGTGGGAAAGCATTTCTGTCGCTATGTATTTTCCAGCAATTTTTTTTCAGATCACACCTCTCAAAGTATTTTTCAACTATTTCTTATTTGCCAAATTAACAAAAATTAAAATTAACCCCTCCTATTCCTTTAAAATGGTTATCTCTAAAAAAAGTTATAATACAAACATAAAACAATGATAGGTAGACAACAGCTAACTTTTAGAAGAAAATAACATAAAAATGAGATTCAGAGTGAGAAAATTGATTTCACAAGAGAGTACTCTACCTCAGATTCCATAGCAAACTCATCCTCTGTCACAGGCTGTGCAACACTATCCAGCCTACAGAGACTCCTACAGAGGAAAAAGATACAACAAAAATGAGCACGTTCATTTCTTAAAAGAAAACAAAAACCATCAGTCTATACATGCACGTCCCCTTGAAAAAAAAAAGGTAAAACAAGGTCTGAGGAAGGTCAGTTATCTGTATATTAAATAATATTTCCTGGTATAATTGGTATAATTAAAATATGGCCTCTGTTTTAGAAAACATTTCAGTTACCTATTTCTGCCTCCACCTCTCCCAGCCTATGAAATATCCAACGCAGACTCACCCTTAAATCCATAACAAATAGTGACCAGGCAATATAATGGCACAGCCAGACAATACTTTGTCCTTATAAATTATCTGCCCTAATGGCTAAACTGAAAATCCAGTTGATATCTGACACAGCTTTTGTTACTGAACTGGAGTAAACCTGGTAACCTAAAACAAGGTAGAAAAGGGACCGTCTCTTCCCCATGATCTATTTCTGAATCAAAGACTAATCTGTGTCACTGAAAAATGGGAGTCTTGGATCTTCAGCTTTTAAGCTACTAAAAGAGGGCTCATTGATTCTCTTTACCCTAGAACACTCCAGGGAGCCCCCTGAAACACTGAAAATGTTTGAAAGCTGAGTGTACAAAAGTCAAAGTACAAATGTATATGTTGTTATTGGGAATATTGTTCAAAGCAGATTAAAACATTAAAAATTACAAAATCCAATTATTGTCATTATATACATCCTGCCTTGTTCAGGTCCACAAAAACCAGCAAGCTTAAGAAGTTTCATAGACACTCAGACACCCAAGAGAGAGACTGCTGGAAAAGTCTCCCTCCTGAGTACATACGGCTCCATTCCATTCATCACTGTCTAAATATCTTCCTTCCTAGGGGCTCCCACTTCTGGATCCCTCTTTTGCAGAGATCCATGGCAATCTCCAATCTACATCTTCAGCCTAGGAAAGCCCAGATTCCTCAAAAGACCAGCTATAATAATTGAGAGTAGGAGCTCTCTATTCCTCTGCTTCCGGAAAGTAAGACAGTCTCAGTCATCCACCCCAAGCATACGCATGTTATCGAATACCCACCTGAAGCTTCATTGCTGATTTACCAGCAAATCCTACATTTGCCCTACCCTACGTGTATGTGAGAGAATTGAGAAAAGAGGCAGAAAAAAGGAGACATCCACCCTGGCTCACAGATCTATATGTACTTAAGCAATCGCCCTAGTTCTTGAGGGGATCTAAGCCCTCTGTAAGCAGGGGTGGAAGAAAATGATACCATACTCTTATCTGCTCCAGAGACTCTTTCCTGTGGCTCAAACTCTTTTAACATTTTTCAGTAAAAATCTTGAAGTGTGTCAGTTCCTCCAGTTAAACAAACAAAAAGGTAGCAATCTCTTCAGAACTCCTTGAATGCCATATTCTGCCTTTCTTCATAGCTCCCCAAATCCTGTGTTTTCAATTCCCTTATCTTTATCAAACTTGTATTAAAGGCAAATATTTGGATTTTTTCCTAAAACCCTCATTTCTGTCCAACTAAGTGTTCGTTTCTCTTCAACTTTGGCTGTCCCCTGAAAATTCCATTCTTACCCACTTTCATTGGGTTCAACAGCTCATTCGTTCTCATCCTCTTCCACTGTGTTCACTAGATCCACTCCCTCTTTCTAAAACTAAAATCACTCAATGACAGAATGATGTCAAAGAAGACCGGGTTTTCAATTAAGAAACCTGAGTGCAAATCTCACTTCTGCGATTTACTGTATCCAAATAATTTTCTCTCTTTGAGTTTCAGATTCTCCACCTGAACAACCACTTGATCAGGATGTTCAACAAGGATTCAAGTACTAGAGCATACTTTGTTTAGTTTCTAGGAATTCCTAAAATTCCGAAATTATATGTACCTCTGATTTTGTCTGTAGGAAAATGGGGAATATTTAGCTGCTGTACATGAGAACTATAATAGAAGATCATAAACCCTAAGAAAAGCAGAAGAGAAAGTAAAAAGAAATCAAGAAAATATTATTAAAATATCACAGAAGGTAAAAAAAATAAAAATAAAAAGAAACCAGAAAATAAAAAGCTTCAGCGAACTAGGCAGGGTACTCACTTAAAGAGAAAACCAAACTGGGTAAGCAGTAAGTAGAGAAATGAATTAGAAATATCCTTTTAATATAGGCTAAATATAGTTAACATAGTATGGACTATATGTAGATACTCCCCATGCACAGTCAGAAAATATTTTTCTAGGACTGGTTTGGTCTTTCTTATGAAAAACTTAGGGTCCAGCGGCCACAGATAACTGATATCTGCCTTTAAAACTTTGATGGTTAAAAAAAAAAAAATGTAATAAGGTTACCACTGCCAATTCCAAAATATTTGGACAAACTTTTGGAGTAGACAGGCTTCAAAACAACACTCTAAAGAGAGTTAATATGTAACAAAATGTGACTTTCTGAATTGATCTGATTTGAATCAGTACTGTGATCCCATTGCCGCATAGGTCTCTATCCATCCACGCTTAGGGGAAAAAGAAGTGATTTAAGAGCCAGGCAGGGTGATGGTCAAATCATGGATTGCTACCTGTTAACTGTGGAATCATGAGCCAGTATTTCAACCTCTTTAAACCAGAGTTGCCTAATTAGTAAAAAAGCAATAATAGGACGAATAGTTTGTAAAGCTGTGTGAAGAAGACATGATACGATAAATGTTAAGCATGTAATACATTGTCTAGCACAAAGCAGAACACTAAAGAGATACTAGCTTCTATTCTCTCTATTCACTAAGTTAAACATATCAATTTTAAAAATCTGTTAAATCATACCTGTTTAAACACTCTTCAGCAGGAGGAAGCACTATTGAATGAAAAGTAAAATGCATTTTAAATCAACAATAGAAAACTAAGGAATATTAAAAACATAAAAGAGCACAGCGGCTTGTTCCTATAATCTCAGCCACTCAGAAGGCTGAGGCAGAAGTATCACTTGAGAAGCCCAGGAGTTTGAGACCAGCCTGGGCAACATAGCAAGAATCTATCCTTATAAAAAAGATACTAATAATAAACAAGAAGGCCTGGCGTGGTGGGGCACACCTGTAATCCTAGCAGTTTGGGAGGCCAAGGTGGGTGGATCACTTGAGGTCAAGAGTTTGAGACAAGCCTGGACATCATGGTGAAACTCTGTCTCTACTAAAAATACAAATATGGCCCAGGGGTGGTGGTGCACACCTCTAATCCCAGTTACTTGGGAGACTGAGGCAGGAGAATCACTGGAACCCAGGAGGTGGAAGTTGCAGTGAGCCAAGATCTCATCACTGCACTGCAGCCTGGGCTGTAGACTAGTAAGACTGTATTTCAAAGAAAGAAAGAAAGAAAGAAAGAAAAACAAAGAAAAAGAAATGAAGAATAAGTAAATAATACAATAGGAAGGTTTCAAATAGCTTACCATCTTCTGCAGATTGTGGAGAAATAATCCTCTTTGGGATGTATGGTTTAGAAATAATCTAGAAGAAAAACACAATAGGTTTAAGAATACATGAAGCAAGTTAAAATAATGATAATTGCCACCATTACTACACAATCTAACACAAAAAGTATAGACATTGAAGTCACTCATATGTGGATTCATACCTCAAGTGTGCCATTTACTTATCTACGTATTCTCGTGGTGTGATGATTATGATTGGTGATTCAGATATTCTCAAAATGTTACTCTTTCAACCCCAGTTGATTATTATACAAATACTCTGATATTCATTAGTTTTTTTATTAACCACAACAAACGAGGACAAAAATTTACTCATATGTAATTTAGAGTATTAGTGAATAAAACGAATAATAAAAAGGTAAATTAATCAGGTTATTTTTCAAAATATATACACATAATATGTATTTGTGTAAAGTGCATTTTGTGGGAGACAATGTGAGAATGTAGTTTTTAGTAGCACTATATTTAAACGCGTTGGTATTGGAAACAGAACAAGCTGCTTCTATTTCATGTGTCAAAAGCAAAAAACAAATTATTGTATAACTTCAGCTCCGTCCAAAAAAGAGAGAACAAAACAATCATCCACCTTATGGAACAATGAGTGATAAATGAAGGCCACACATACCTACTAAATAGAAAGCTGTAACTAAGTATCCTGACAATAGAAACAGAGACGAAATGACAGAATAGACAGTAAAGACATGCAGTCTGCAAGGAAAAAGTCAGACTGAGGTAAATCATTTTTAAACAAAGGTGAAGGAGGGAGGAACAAACAAAAAAAAGGGACATGACCAGTCAATCAAATATGAGCTTACAAGAAAAGCTTGTGTTCACAATAGATGCCTAATAACACTGGATAGCATTTACTCTACAATGTGTTTTGTGTAAATACTTAGGTAACAGTTTAATTTATTTAGTATAAAATAACACCCCAAGAGTTAACCATGATCATTCACATGAAAACTGAAACATTCTTACTACAGAGACAGAGAAATAGAGAGAGAGAAAGCAAAAAATAAAAATAAAATAAAATAAAATAAATAAAGTTCCAGCAACTTAACACCTGGAGAAAGAATTTTTATTCTGATTTTGAAAGAGCAATGTATGTCCCGAAAAATATGCATTTAATAGAACATGGTTGGGGCTTTAAAAATTTAAGAAAATTTAATCTAAAATCCTAATCCAAGCTTCCAGTTGTAAGATATTAGAAAACATGCTGTATCCACCTTTCCTATTTCCTTTCCATCTTTTGTAATTTTTATTTTCTTTTTTATGACATATTTTATCAACATAACTCAGCTACTACATTCTCAAAATTAGAGGAAAAGATAAATTCAAAACATTCAAGAAATTTAAAAGATTTAATTATGAGATCTGCCATGCATATTATGTTACCTGCAACATTCCATTATAAAAAAAGCCATTTGCCTGTTGTTGATTCACTTTAAAAACTATTAAAATGTTTCACACATGCAAGACCTTATTCTGGGTACTCCAGGATACATACAAAGCGGTTTCCTAGCTTCAGGTGGTTCATAGTAATGCAGCAGCTTTACAGTTATTTTTTAATAACTAAGCACAAAAGCCTCTGAAATTTGAAATTTACAATGAGATACAAAGACCCTCAGTGGAAATTTTTTTAATTACAATGCAAAACCCTTGTGAAATTAAAGTCCGACCTTAAGAATATGAAGAGTCTCTGCTTATCAAACAGGCTGTTATTTTAAACTAAATGCATATTCTTCAATTAGATAAAGAGTTTAAAGTATACTCTTTTTGTTTTTGTTTTGTTTTGTTTTGTTTTTGAGATGGAGTCTCGCTCTGTCGCCCATGCTAGAGTGCAGTGGCGCGATCTCGACTCACTGCAAGCTCCGCCCCTCGGGTTCACGCCTATCTCCCGCCTCAGCCTCCCGTGTAGCCAGGACTGCAGGCGCCCACCACCACGCCCGGCTAATTTTTTTTTTTTTTTTTTTTTTTTTTTTTTTTTAGGGGGATTTAACTGTGTTAGCCAGGATGGTCTTGATCTCCTGACCTTGTGATCCACCCGCCTCGGCCTCCCAAAGTGCTGGGATTACAGGCGTGAGCCACCGCGCCCAGCTAAAGTATACTCTTAATAAAAAGGGCTTGGAAAACACAGTGTAAACTCTCTGTAATACCGATGTGAGAACAGAATTGAAATTTCTCATCTCCCACCACTTTGTAAATTAGGGAGAAGGTTTGCTGTATTGCCAGGCTTGGTCTGGTACTCCTGGGCTCAAGAATTTCCTGGCTTGATCTCCTGAACAGGTGGCACTACAGGCACATGATACCATGTCTAGTTAAATTTCCACAATTTCTAATATTATTTTAGTCCAATTATAGAATCAAGAATAAAAATAAATGGCTCTCTGCAAAAATACGGCATTATGACAAAATAGGTGTACAAGAAATAAAAAGAAACTATATGCTATGTGTAAGAGGGTGATTCCTTGGTTCCTATAACAAGTCATCTGATGTATTCAAGATTCATTTAAACAAAGGTATGATTAGTCATACTCATATGATATACAACTCAAAGTAAAGACACTTACTCCAATAAGCCTAGACCAAAATTTGTATCTGCTCTATTGTGGGAAAGCGTTCCCAAGCATCATTTTTCTGTCACTATGTATTTTCCAGCAATTTTTTTCCAGATCACAGCACTCAAAGTATTTATCAACTATTTCTTATTTGCCAAATTAACAAAAATTAAAATTAACCCCTCCTATTTCTTTAAAATGGTTATCTCTAATAAAAGATATAATACAAACAGAAAACAATGATAGGTAGACAACAGCTAACTTTTAGAAGATAATAATATAAAATGAGATTCAGAGTGAGAAAACTGATTTCACAAGAGAGTACTCTACCTCAGATTCCAAATCAAACTCATCCTCTGTCACAGGCTGTGCAATATTATCCGGTCTACAGGGACTCCTACAGAGGAAAAAGATACAACAAAAATGAGCACGTTCATTACTTAAAAGAAAACAAAAACCATCAGTCTATATATGCACGTCCCTTCCAAAAAAAAAGGTAAAACAAAGTCTGAGGAAGGTCAGTTATCTGTATATTAAATAATATTTCTTGGTATAATTAAGATATGGCCTCTGTTTTAGAAAACATTTCAGTTACCTATTTCTGCCTCCACCTCTCTCAGCCTATGAAATATCCAATGCAGACTCACCCTTAAACCTGTAACAAATAGTGACCAGGCAATATAATGGCACAGCCAGACAATACTTTGTCCTTATAAATTATCTACCCTAAAGGCTAAACTGAAAATCCAGTTGATATCTGACATAACTTTTGTTACTGAACTGGAATAAACCTGATAACCTAAAACAAGGCACTGTCTCTTCCCCGTTAACTATTTCTGATTCAAAGACTAATCTTTGTCACCGGAAAATAGGAGTCTTGGATCTTCAGCTTTTAACTTACTTAAAGAATGCCCATTGATTCTCTTTACCCTAGAACACTCCAGGGAGCCCCCTGAAACACTGCAAATGTTTGAAAGCTGAGTGCACAAAAGTCAAAGTACAAATGTACATGTTCTTCTGTTGTTATAGGGAATACTCTTCATAGAAGATTAAAACATTAAAAATTTTAACATCCAATTATTGCATTATACAGATCCTGCCTCATTCAGGTTCACAAAAACCAGCAAACTTAAGAACCTTCATAGACACTCAGATACCCAAGAAAGAGACTGCTGGAAAAGTCCATCCTGAGTACATATGGCTCCATTCCATTCATCACTGTCTAAATATCTTCCTTCCTAGGGGCTCCCACTTCTGGATCCCTCTTCTACAGAGATCCATGGCAATCTCCAATCTACATCTTCAGCCTAGGAAAGCCCAGATTCCTCAAAAGACCGGCTAAAATAATTGAGAGTAGGAGCTCTCTATTCCTCTGCTTCTGGAAAGTAAGACAGTCTCAGTCATCCACCCCAAGCATACGCATGTTATCGACTACCCACCTGAAGCTTCATTGCTGATTTGCCAGCAAATCCTACATTTGACCTACACTACGTGTATGTGAGAGAATTGAGAAAAGAGGCAGAAAAAAGGAGACATCCACCCTGGCTCACAGATCTATGTACTTAAGCAATCTCTCTAGTTCTTGAGGGGTTCTAAGCCCTCTGTAAGCTGGGATGGAAGAAGATGATACCACATTCCTATCTGCTCCAGAGACTCTTTCCTGTGGCTCAAATCCTTTTAATACTTTTCAATAAAAACCTTGAAATCTGTCAGTTCCTCCAGTTAAACAAAAAGGCAGCAACCCCTTCAGAACTCCTTGAATGTCCTATTCTCATATGTCTTTCCTCATAATTCCCAACATCCTGTGTTTTCAATTCCCTTATCTTTATCAAACTTAGAAGAAAGCCAAATATTCAGATTTTTCCCTAAAACCTTCATTTCTATCCAACTAAGTGTGTGCTCCTCTTCAAATGTGGCTGTCCCTTGAAAATTCCATTCTCACCCACTTTCATTGGGTTCAACAGCTCATTCCATGCTCATCCTCTTCCGCTGTGTTCACTAGACCCACTCCCTCTTTCTAAAACTAAAATCACTCAATGACAGAATGATGTCAAAGAAGACTGGGTTTTGAATTAAGAAACCTGAGTGCAAATCTCACTTCTGCAATTTACGGTATCCAAATAATTTTCTCCCTTTGAGTTTCAGGTTCCCCATCTGAACAACCACTTGATCAGGATGTTAAACCAGGATTCAAGTACTAGAGGATATTTTGTTTAGTCTCTAGGATTTCTTAACATTCTGAACTTCTGTGTACCTCTGAAATTGTCTGTAGGAAAATGGGGAATATTTAGCTGCCATAAATGAAAACTATAATAGAAAATCACAAACCCTTAGAGAAGCAGTAGAGAAAGTGAAAAGAAATTGAGAAAATATTAAAATGTCATAGAAGGAAAAATAAAGAATCCAGAAAATAAGAAAAAGCTTCAGCGAACTAGGCAAGGTACTCACTGAAAGAGAAAACCAAAGTGGGTAGGCAGTAAGTAGAGAAATGAATTAGAAATATCCTTTTAATATAGGCTAAATACAGTTAATATTACATGGATTATATGTAAATATTCTGCATGCACAGTCAGATAATATTTTTCTAGGACTGGCCTTGTCTTGCTAATGAAAAACTTAGGGTCCTGCGGCCACAGGTAACTGATATCTGCCTTTTAAAAAAATAAGTAATATGGTTACTACTGCCATTTCCAAAATATTTGGACAAATTTTTGGAGTAGACAGGCTTCTAAATAACACTCTAAAGAGAGTTAATATGTAACAAAATGTGACTTTCTGAATTGATCTGATGTAAATCAGTACCGTGATCCCATTGCCACATAGGTCTCTATCCATCCACACTTATGGGCAAAATAAGTGTTTTGAGAGCCAGGCAGGATGATGGTCAAATCATAGGTTGGCTATCTGTTAACTGTGGAATCATGAGCCAGTATTTCAACCTCTTTAAACCAGAGTTGCCTAATTAGTAAAAAAAATAATAATAATAGCCACAAATAGTTTGTAAAGCTGTGTGAAGATGACATGACATGATAAATGTACGTGTAATGTGGTGTCTCGCACAGAGCAGAACACTAAACGGATACTAGTTTCTATTCTCTCTATTCACTTAGTTAACATATCACTTTAAAAAATCTGTGAAATCATACCTGTTTAAACAGTCTTTAGCAGGAGGAAGCACTATCAAACAAAAAGTAAAATGTATTTTAAATCAACAATAGGAACCTGTAGAATATTAAAAACATAAAAGAGCACAGTGGCTTGTTCCTATAATCTCAGCTACTCAGAAGGCTGAGGCAGAAGTATCACTTGAGAAGCCCAGGAGTTTGAGACCAGCTTGGGCAACACAGAAAGACTCTATCTTTATAAAAAATATTTTAAAAATTTAAAAATATCCTGTAGGCAGGGCTTGGTGGGTCACGTCTGTAATCCCAGCACTTTGGGAGGCCAAGGTGGGTGGATCATTTGAGGTCAGGAGTTCGAGATCAGCCTGGCCAACATGGTGAAAGCCGGTGTCTACTAAAAATACAACAATTACCAGGTGTTGTGGCGCACACCTGTAATCTCAGCTACTCAGGACACTGAGACAGGAGAATCACTTGAACCCAGGAGGTGAAAGTTGAAGTGAGCCAGGATTGCGCATGTCTTTCATACAAAACATCAGAAGGATTTAAGCCATTATACTACAAATATTCATCACGTTCTTTGACTTGCCTGGTAATTGAGCAGGTACACAATGACAATTACACTTTAGATGAATGTACACTTCAAAACTCCTCAGTGGAAGTATCCCAAATTGATCTGCTTGGATATGTTTGGTGAATCCTGTTATATGGTATTCATTATTTTTCATACCCATGTGGTATAATAATGAGCCTACACTTCTTGTATTTTCTAGTTTAGCCTTCAGAAAGTTTTGTCAATCACTCATGGCAACAAGGTATAATATACAAACCCAATCGAAATATATAAAAAATTATCAAATCTGATATACTTACACAAAATAAAGCCGCTAAAACCATTAGACATCAGTAAGCTTTTCCATTTGGAAATCACTCCAATATTCATTAAAAATAAATATTTTAGGGGTCAATTAATGAATTCAACATTATTTTTATTTCTAAAATAGTCTGGTTTGAAGGATCATGTTATTCTCTAAAGTATTTTCATTAAATTGCCATTTTATCCAAAAGTTAGCTCTCTGAGCAACAAAGCCAATGTATGCATATTCACATTTACCCTATGTGAATAACTAATACCAACAAAACATATATTTCTGATGCCCAATAGTAACAAAGAGGGGTAATGAGTCACTGTGGGTCATCCCAATTCTAGCACTCTTTCCTGCTTCCAGCAGTTCCTGGAGCAGCCAAAATCAAATCTTCTTTTATGCAAATATTCCAAATGCATCTGAAGTGAGTTCCATCAGCTTTCTTCAGCAGAAATCCCAAAATTGCAAAACTAACACCTTTTCCCTCCTTACTGCCTCACAATCCCTCTTCCTTGAGTAAAATAATTACCACATCAGAGGTCTCCTTAGTTCTCTTTCTACATTGTTTATGAGTTCTTCCAATCACTTCTTCCCTGTGGTTTTAGCAATATGATCTGATGCCTATAATTTTTATTACTTAATCTCTTTCTCCATCCCTTTATGATGGAAACCTGCTGGAGAATTAAAGCAAGAATATTCTGTCCTTGAGCCTGTTAGATCTTGCACTGCTCTCCAATCGTTCTTCTTGCCAATTTCATTGTGGGGAAGGATATAATCTTACTACTCAGATCATGGCCAAGGACCAGCAGCATCCATGTCACCTGAGTACTTATTATAAATGCAGAATCTCAGGCCTGCTGAATCAGAATGTGCAGCTTCAATGAGCCCCCTGCGATTTATTCAGGGAAGGGAAGTTCTCTTCTATCCTGAGTGAACATGACATTAAATGTGTATTGCAAAATTACCTGTCCCAGATTTTTCTCCATCTTTTGTTTCTGTGGCTATATTCGAAACAGAATCTTTCTTTTCACTTGTAGCCTGAATGGGATTTGAAACAAAACAATCAATACATAAAGTATATTTCACAAACTATACAGTTAATAGTTCAAAACATGAATGTGTAATTACCTTCAAGGCCGGTTGTTTCTGAGAAGACACTGAAAAGCAAAAGGGATACATAATCAATCATGTGTAAATATGATGAAGTTATCCATACATGCATGCAGTGTTAGCATCAAGCTGTATCCTCCTGCCTATATTAGTTTAGGTTTTTATGTTTTATATGTTGTGTCTTGGGACTGGAACATGACAAAAATACACTGAAGAAAACACGAATACAGGCTTCAAGAAATATACACTTACAATTTCAAACGTGATATGATTTGTCATATGTCTAAAACTAAAATGAAACAGTGTCAGTATCAATGTGGATATGCTGAGGGATAAAAACAAATGTGGTCTAAAAACAGAGGAGCAACTGATACACCTGGGAATCAATGTCAAAGCAGGTGGTACACGCTCTCGCATGTCTTTAATGCAAGAGATCAGAAGGACATATACCATTATACTACAAACATTCATCATGCTCTTTAACTTGCCTGATAGCTAAGAAGGTACACAATTACAATGACACTTCAGCTGAATGTACACTTCATGTCTCCTCAGTGGAAGTATCCTAAATTGATCAGCTTGGATATATGTTTGGTGAATTCTAGTAGATAGTATGCATTATTTCTCAGACTCATGAGGTGTAATAATTGCCTGTGTTTCTTGTGTCCTCTAGTTTAGCCTTCTAAAAGTCTTTGCATCCACTCATGGCAACAAGGTATAATATATAAACCTCAATAAAAAGTATCATCATTTATCAATATTAACATACTTCTACAAAATAAGACTGCTACAAGCATTAGATATTAATAAGCTTTTACATTGAGAAACAGCTCCAATGTTCATTGACAATAACCATTTTAGGAGTCAATTAATGAATTCAACATTATTTTTGTTTCTAAAATAGTCTGAAGTATCATGTTATTCTCTAAGGAATTTTCATTAAATTGCTATTGTATCCAAAAGTTAGCTCCTTGAACAACAAAGCCAATGTATGCATATTCATGTTTATTTCATTTGAATAATTAATATCAGCAAAATCTATGTCTCTGATTCCCAATAGTAACAAAGAGGAGTAATGAGTCACTGTGGTTTATCTGAATTCTATACCCTTTCCTTCCTCTAGTAGTTTCTGGAGCCGCCAAAATCAAATCATCCTTTACGCAAATATTCTAAAATGCATTTGAAGTGAGTTCAGTTATACTTAGAGTCGTAATTTTAAAAATAATTTTCTTTGTACTCATGAAGGCTCCTAATATTCCTACATTTCCTGGATTCAGCAGTTCAGCTCTTTTGCCATCTCTTTTTCCACTTTTGCAAAAACATACACATCAAAGAAATAATGCATAATCAGATTCCCATGTAAATAAGTTAAACAAAATCTCTAAATAACCAGAGACTTATTTTATTAACTAACCAAATATATATATGCACATATATATATGCGCATATATATATATGTCATGATTGCCAAGATTATTGACAGTTACCCTTTTAGTACTCAAGAAATGCATTCTTTGATTCCTTGTTCCTAAAGCTAGTTTGATATGATATACCATAGAGGTATCTCTGGTCCTTTTGTGAAATAACTATCTCAGTAAACACAGCTTTCCTAAAGGGAAAAAAAAAAAAAAAAAACTTTTTCTAGATTAAGCATCCCAATATGCTAACTGACATGAATGAAGCGCATATCATTGATGTGCAAAACTTATAGGGAGAAGAAATGAGACCCTGTGGGTCACCCTCATCCTTTTAACTTCCACTTTCCATTAAGTGACTTTCCACAAGTCTCCTCATCAGAAACCTCCAAATTACCTAGCTAGATGCTTTGTTTACACCTGCCCAATTTGACATATACTCTTTTTCATTCATAAATCTAATATCCATATTGGTGGACTTCATTCTTTGACCTCCACATTCATTTCTTCATTATTCTCACCACTGTATTGGGACATCTGTACAATCCCATACACACATATGTGAAGATAAGGTTTTGCTTTATTAAAATGTTAAATGTGTCAGACACGTGACTAACATGTACAAATTCCTTCTTCACAAAAGCAGCCCCGTGGCCTCCTCTCTCCCATAGACACTCTGTTTCACAGCTGTTCTTCACTCACATCCGTCTGAGTATCTATCGTCTCTCATTTTGTCTCTATGCTTTCACTTCATATTACGAGTTATTATCACAGGCTCACCCATCTACCTTACCTATTTTCCTCTCCAGGAGACAGTACTGAGCAGTAAATTAAAATATTCCAGGATATGAATACTTTTATATACACAAGACTTTGTGGAGCTATTTTATGTTTAACTATGAATAAAACCACTATTTCTATGCCTTCCAGAGAAACGGGCTCTGAAATGTTATTGAACGTAACCTATTTAAAAACTTCTTTAACTACAATCACACTGTCTCTCCTCAATGCACCAATATCTTCAGAAATAACTTGTGAAGACTTGAAAACATGTCAGTAATTGACATGAAAAATGAAGCACTGACATAATTTTTTGCAGATATAAATAAGACACGTTGAGATCCTTACTAGATCTGAGAAGAGTGCCATAAGACAGGAAATAAATATGGAACAAAAATATTTTCATTTGTAATGAAAATTATTCTATTTACAGTTTTCAGAAGAGAAAAAATACACACACACACACACACACACACACACATATTCACACACAAAAAACAGAGCAATATGGCTTTACAGGGTGTTTTATCTTCAAGGCCCTATTTGTCATTTAACATCCGGGAACAATCTATAAGGATCAACAAAGGGGTTCGAAATTGTGACCTGAGTAGTTTAGAGTTTAACATTCATGAAGGGGAACCACGAGGACAAGTAACACTTTGACCATTGGCCATTTCCTCTCCTTACTGACATTCTCTGAAAAGCACACACTGGATTTTCTCAGGGTTATGACATGTCAAAAAGACATGCTTTAAGGGGGAAACAGGTGCAATCAGCACAGCCATGGGAGAGATACAGCTATGCTTGCTAGGATTTCCAATACTTTTGTTTCATTTCTAATATAGTACAAATCAATAAAAGCAACCACATGAGCATATCCATGTTGGTATGTCATCATATTTAAGTTGATATAGTATCAGCACGAAGATAGCATAATATGCTGTAGTTACCACATGGAATATCATGAGATCATATAATAAATCAAGAAATACCTCACTGGGTCAATGTGGATAGACAGATTTTACAAAGACCAAGTTGCAGTCATTTTGTGCACTGCCTGAACTTTTCTACAAGTTTTTAATACACAAAATCAAGTTCTACATGTTATCTATGAATGTGCACATATGTGGTAAGAGGTTTTTAATGTGCATTTGGGTGATTTCTCTTTGATTTTTTTTTAATTTAATTCAAGCTCTTGGTTACACGTCATCAATAAGTTTTATTGGTATAGAAAACTCTAAGACCATAACAGCTCAGAATCACTGTCTTAAAAGGCTATGTCTACCAGAGTCAGGAAAGCATGACTACTTACTTTCTTCATTTTTAAAACTCACAGGTACTCCACACACACTCCCAAATAAAACTGCATACAAATTCTTTAGTTTAATTAGATCCCATTTGTCAATTTTGGCTTTTGTTGCCGTTGCTTTTGGTGTTTTAGTCACGAAGTATTTGCCCATGCCTATGTCCTGAATGGTACTGCCTAGGTTTTCTTCTAGGGTTTTTATACTTTTAGAACTTACTTTTAAGTCTTTAATTCATCTTGAGTTAATTTTTGTATTAAGTGTAAGGAAAGAGTCCAGTTTCAGTTTCCTGCATAAGGCTAGCCAGTTTTCCCAACACCATTTATTAAATGGGTAATCATTTCCCCATTGCTTTTGTCAGGTTTGTCAAAGATCAGATGGTGTAGACGTATGGCATTATTTCTGAGGCCTCTGTTCTGTTCCATTGGTCTATATATATCTGTTTTGGTACCAGTACCATGCTATTTTCATTACTGTAGCCTTGTTGTATAGTTTGAAGTCAGGTAGCATGATGCCTCCAGCTTTGTTCTTTTTGCTTAGGATTGTCTTGGCTATATGGGCTCTTTTTTTGGTTCCATATGAAATTTAAAGTAGTTTTTTCTAATTCTGTGAAGAAAGTCAGTGGTAGCTTGATGGGTATAGCATTGAACCTACAAATTACTTTGGGTAGTATGGCCATTTTCAAATTACTGATTCTTCCTATCCACGAGTATGGAATGTTTTTCCATTTGTTTGTGTCCTCTTATTTCCTTGAGTGGTGGTTTGTAGTTCTCCTTGAAGAGGGTCTTCAAATCCCTTGTGAGTTGTATTCCTTGCTATTTTATTCTCTTTGTAGCAACTGTGTATGGGGGTTCACTCATGATTTAGCTCTCTATTATTGGTGTATAGGAATGCTTGTGATTTTTGCACATTGATTTTGGATCCTGAGACTATGAGGAAGTTGCTTATCAGCTGAAGGAGATTTGGGGCTGAGACAATTTGTTTTCTAAATATACAATCATATCGTCTGCAAACAGAGACAATTTGACTTCCTTTCTTCCTATTTGAATACTGTTTATTTCTTTCTCTTGCCTGATTGCTCTGGCCACAACTTCCAATATTATGATCAGAGTGAACAGGCAACCTACAGAATGGGAGAAAATGTTTGGAATCTCTCCATCTGACAAAGGCCTAATATCTAGAATCTACAAGGAACTTAAACAAATTTACAAGAAAAGAACAAACAATCTCCTCAAAAAGTGGGCAAAGGATATGAACAGACACTTCTCAAAAGAACACATTTATGCAGCCAACAAACATCTGAAAAAAAGCTCATCATCACTGATCATCAGAGAAATGTAAGTCAAAACCACAATGAGATACCATCTCATGCAGTGGAAACAACAGATGCTGGAGCAGATGTGGAGAAATAGGAATGCTTTTACAATGTTGGTGGGAGTCTCAATTAGTTCAACCATTGTGGAAGACAGTGTGGTGATTCCTCAAGGATCCAGAACCAGAATCCCATTATTGGGCACATACTCAGTGTGTGTGTGTGTGCATGTGTAT